AAATCATTTTGATTTAATTCTCCCCATCACACTTGCAGCTGCCTCTCTGCTCTCTTGAAACTGAATTTGAATGCAGTAAATGCCATTCAGCTATGAATTATTTAGCAATCAATTACCATTTCTAGTGTATCTAACATTTGATATCTGTCACATTTGAAAATCAGTATAGCCTTTAAGCTGGAACTCCAGTTTCCAATTTTGACAGCATAGCTGGTATAATATTTCCCTGAGATTTCGCAAATTTTTGTCATTATTTAAAGTCAAATATACCAGTATAATTTTTAAAGAAATATTTTTGAAATATTTTAGCAAAGGTGTGATCTCCTAGAATGTGCAGCATACCTAGTTTGGTTTTGACACCAATATCACATTCAGCCTTCCTTTGAAATCTTCACGTTGAATCAAATATATTTTGATGATGGAAGAAAATTGTAAAAAAAAACACTTATTTAACATTGGTCTTTTCAAATACAGATCTTCCTCCAAGCATAATTGCAATGTCAAATATATATGCTGAAAAAGGAATCAATTCAGACTAATCAGCACCCTAATTATTATAATCCAGGTTCCCTCCAAGACTTCTGGTTACCTGAACAGTCTCCTCAAACCACTGAAAATGTTCCTGGATGAGCACAAAACTACAATAAGTGAGGAAATGTATAGGTCTTGGGTGATGAAAATCATCTGTGAAATTACTGAACAGTGAGTATTGGTACTATTGGTTATTTGAGTAAGTTTACTTCCCAGTCAGCTAACTCACTTTGCCATCTTGGATCTCCATGTACTCTGAATGAGCGGTGGCCAGATCTTTCATCAATAAGTTCTTACTGTGGCTTGATTATTTTCAGTTATCTTAAAAATTCACGATCATGGTCTTGTAACAGAGCAGTTATAGACTGTGGTCCAGTCACCTTTCAACTAGGTTCAACCTGAAGCTGGGATGATTGACCCACGCCTTCCCAGCTTCTGGTTAGGCCTAGCTGAGAGGTGAACTCAGCCGTAGTCAATAATTTTATATTATTAATACAATTTGATTAAAAATGTAAAAGATGTAAAAAAAAAATGTTGCAGGTCCTCCCAATTCTGTGCTGGTACGAACAAAGTGTTAATTTCATTTCCATTTGTAAATGTTTGCATGTGATTTATCTTATGCAATGTATTTTCATTGAAATCTTGCCAGTCTTTTGGCGCTTTTAAGGCAGTCATGACTGGTTGGTTCGGCAGTTTCCCCATGGCTGTATTAGGATGTTGTACAAGGATGAGCCATAATATTCTGAAATACCATTGCTTTATGGGTCTGAGCTTGTGTGGGTGCATACTTATGGTACTTCAAAATCCTAACAACAGAATCCGATCAGTCATATTACTTTGTTTTAAAAAAAACAACATTTTTACTGCCAATTTCAGATACCATAGCATTGTTACAGATGTGCTTACATCAGTAAAAAAGATGGAAGACAGCCTGAAACGCTTAAAAAGAAGTAAAACCACGCCAAACTTTGGCTCCAATCAGGGCCCCAGTGATGATGACAAGATTAGGCTACAGATTGCACTGGACGTAGACGAGTTTGGTAAACAGGTAAACTTGGCAAAATGCCATACTTCATAATGAATGTTCTTTTTTATCAGGATTAAAAGATTCCCTGGAAATGTCATCATGGAAGTTCTAGAAATTTTTGAAAGTTATGTTTTAGGAGTCTTATTTGGAGCTTAAATATCTGTCTGGATTGGTTGTGGTTAATCCTTTTGTCAATTTCTTAATTAAATTTATCTGGATCTTGCTCCCAGGCTTTTGTGTTTATAAGAGAGTCGAGGGTTTTTTCTTTTTCTTTGATTGAGCATATTTTGGCATCACTTCTAGATTGAAAATCTGGGAATCTGCAAGGACGCCATAGAAGCCTATAAGAAGCTGCATGACCTTGTGGAAAGTGCTCAGAATGCTGCATCTAGCAGCCAGTCTGAAAAATGATATGCTCGCTCTGTGGTCAATGAAAACTACAATATTATTTATCCAAAACTAATCAGTGGTAAGAAGAGGAGAGTTGTCTCCATCTGTGGTTATTTTTTGTAAAAGCAAGTAAAAGTTGTATAACTTGTTATTTTCTGTTTATGAAATGTGGAAGGAAGTGTGGTTAATACAGTTCACTAAAATATATTATGAAGTACAAGACTTGTGTAATGTAAAATTTTGGGTTTTGAGGTGTGGTGGCAGAATTGACCAAGACACGACTTTCTCACAAAAGCACCCTGCTTTGAGGTGAAGCATTAAAATAGACTGAATGGTGTAAAAAAAATTTCTCAACAGTTTAGATAATATTTTCCTCTTCCTTAATGAATCCATTTATTTTGAAACATTATATAACAGTTAAACATAAAACATATTAAATAACAGAAAATAATGGGGTTTGTAGAATTTAGTCCTGCAATTATGTATTCTAACTACTGTTAGTCATGAAATCTAGTGGGTTATTGGTGGTATACAGAATTGATGTACAGTTGGGGTAATTACATATGAACATAATGTACATATTGAACTGTCTGTGATATCAGATTCAATAAAGTGAGGGATGCAACTATGGTTTTGGGTCGCGTTATATTTCTCTCTGCGTGTTCATGTCATGTTTACCCCAGTCTTTAGTTTTTTAAAAACAATAAAGCGACAAATCAGTAAATATTGTCATCTTACTGACTCAGTTTAAATAGCTCAAAATGTAGAAGAATATTCATATCTTTTTTTTATACATATATTGCTGCAAAAGTAAGTGATCAACTGATCCCAACACAAATGAAATATATTAACATTTGTAGGAAATGCAATTAATATCCAAGTGCTCAACTGAGCACATCTTAAATATAAGAATAACTTAATTATAGATCAAAAGAAACATATGACAAAATGAAGTATTTATACATTAATACTGGTTTGAGACTAGCAAGGAGCATAACAACTAGTAGCTGTGTCAGAAAAGTTTTTTCTAGTTTGTGCAATATACGTTACAATGTATATAAAACAAAGTGAACAATATTAAACAACATGCAGTTGATAAGAATTCAATTATGTTATAAAACAAAATCCACTATGACCTAGGAATATAACCCAGGTATATATCCAAAGAGACAGATAAAAAGTTGAAACTGTGTGGTCATTAAGTATACGATTCTTTATATGCACTTCATCAAAGCAATGTTCTTAACAAAGCAGATAATACAAGTAGAATACCCTGTCTCTTGGAGATCACAATCTATCTCCAACTGCAGTGATACACATGGATGGTCAGTTTGTAGAATTAACAATAAACTTGTTCAAATTTGTGGCCATCTTGGTCCCACTAGTAGTGCATTTGAGATACACTTATATTGAAGTCCCTACTTATGTCTGATCCAAAATACAACTAAATAAATCTTAAGCACCATCTTGGGTCATCCATAATGTAAACTAGATACAACTGCAAAATTGTTTCATGTGAAACTAGATTTACAAAGAGGAAAGCAAAACTGTCTTGCTAACTTTAAACTTAATTCACCCGGCCACCCCTTTTAATCGCATTTTAGGTCCACAGTTTTTTAAAGTTATCAAGTGGAGATACAATGTTAATTTACTGACATCAAAACAGATTATCTCAAGTATTATAATATCTTGTACAATTCTCATAGTAATGGCAAGGCAAGAAAGCAAACATTTTGCCAGGTAATGTGCAGTTACTCATGAATTTTTGATCTACATTGGTGTCCGTGTTTATAATTATGTCATTATTCCAATCCAAGACATTGTGTTATGAACAAAAAAAAAACAAAAACGATTAAAAAGGGTGGTCTACTTTTCTTAACATAGGCTGAATGGACAACTACTTAACCAAATGGACATGTCAAATATTTGTTCTTTGAAACTGTAATAAGCCTATCAACCAGTTTATCTGAAATTTGACAGCCAGGTTCCAGCTGCATGGCTGTGGCGTGATCATTTATACCATCCGGCATTAAGAGCAGAAAAACAACAAAAAAAAAAATATGGATTCACCTGACACTTACATTAACCGACTTAAGCATATCAGGCATAACACATAACCTTTACATAGAAATAATACTGAATTATTGATTGAAATTCTCACAAGTAGAAATTCACTGAGATTCTATTCGCAATCAGAATATCATCTTATGCTGTGCTATACTACATTTACGAAAAATTGCTGCTCTTGTTCCCCTACAAAATGTAAACAGTATGCACCACCCAAAGGGGAGACCAATAAATAATTTTGCATGTCCAAATGAAAACCAGTGTTCTCTTTTTTTTTCTGTAGCAATATTGGCTTGATTCGTACATTAGGTAACAACTAATAAACTAACAATAAATAAATAAACAACTAATAAACATAACATAACATTTGTCAACAACAAAATATTTGAAAATGGTGAAACAAAAGTGAGCAGACTTCCTGCTCTAAATACTAAATGTGTAGTGGTGAAACAAAAGTGAGCAGAACTACTGCTCTAAATACTAAATAAGTAGAACTTTCCACTCCTGTTCAAAAAGTCTATGTGGAAAATTTGCTCCTTAAACTCACATATCCCGTTTAATCTACATGCCTTCGCTATGTGTTACTTTTATCCCTAAGAAACAAACATAATAAAATGTCTTTGACTCTTGGACTTGCTTTTAGTGTCAGAGATTCAATAATGCTTCTAAATAAAAATTAACCAAAATGACCATGAAACTATAACATATTATCAAACATGGCATTGTAACAATTCCATTTTAAAGAGTTTAAATAACAAAGTTTGTGTAATGATATAACTGTTACCAAATTCTGATGTGCATGAATAACAAAACTGTAAAAAATTGTACATGACAAAACTTTCAAGCTGCATTCCCAATGCAGTTTCGACATACTAACTAAAGTAATTACATTGAGTGGATTGAAGAAACAACTTAAAAATTGCTCAAAAACTGCCTACTACTATTCAATGAAATGTCACTTAATACTACTATATAAATCTGGCATAAATGAAAAAGTTTTGATCAGTGTCTTTAATAACTATTACAACCATATGGCAGTCATTACAAAAAAGACCCGTTAAAAAATGCATGTCAAAATTCAGTATTTTGTAATCTCTTCACTTCCGGACTGTCACAGCAAATAATGCATTTTTAATCCAAATAATACATTTCCAGTCTGGATGAAGCGACATCCAATACCACTTAAAACCATTCAAGAACATTTTGATAAAGTTGTTTCCAAATTCAAAAAGACAGTTGACTGATCTTCAATGCTGTGTTTGAAATTCAAAGTTACAACAAAGGGAAATGTCTAGCCAAGAAAAGTGTGATGGTCCAATTGCCACTGAGGGCTAATATAACAGATAATTTTCAGACAATGGAGACAAACTTCAAGCAGAAGTCAAGCAATATATCATAATAGTAAAAGACACCAAGGTCAGTGTGCAAGTGTACAGAAAACTGTCATCATCCATTGATGAAACAGGAATTCTGGCACTGCATTCTAGCAACATAATTTTTGTACTAAGAACCACAGGGTGTTGCAATGATGTACAGAGACAAATGTTTGTCAGAAACAGAACAATTTAGCAGCATAAAGTGTTATTTAAGTGAATAATAGTGGATAATTTTCAAGGCAAAATCAAATTCACTCAAAAGACATTTTTTAAACAAAATTTCATTCATTTGTTCACTAGCTTTCCAGAATAGGTGTCTGAAAAGTCTATTTGACAAATCTTCATGAACACAAGGTTCCTCCATTTCTCACAGATTTATCGAAAGCTGCACATATATTAGCACCATTTCTTCTTGCAAGTCAAGTTAAACCATCTAACAAAAGCTATCTACAGTCTGGCAGTCTACATGAAGTTTCTCATTATGTGACCTTCAAAAACTACTCTGTACCAGAATAATGTTGGAATGCTGATGAAAACAAATACTTAATCACATTTCATGTCAGTGCTGGGGCCCCCATCACTGCGACACTGCAGAATTTGAGCTACATGTTGATGCCTTCCTCTCTTCTGCCAAAGTATATTCCACCGCAGCCAGCTGCAACTTGGAATCTTTGGGATCCTTGTTTGAGACAGTCCTCTGAGGGGTCCAGCTTCTCCTATCTCTCCGTAACAAACTATCCTCTCTCAGTTGAGCATGCTCCTTTCCAACCCTCTGGGCAGCCACTGTGGCCACCATATCAATAGTAGTATATTCTGTCATGCAGGTTTTCTGAGAAGGGCGGCGCAGGACAGCCCCAGTGTGTGTAAGATCAATCTCTGCATAGTTCAACATGGGATTGGACTGTTCTGAGGGCTGGGGCAGCACTGGGGATGATGGAGGGCTGAGGTCAACATTCATATAGACTGCTCTAGGAGAGGCCACATTCACATAGATAGCCTTAGGTGAGTCCAGCTTGTTGTCATACTGGACATAATAATGACTAGGGGAGTGAGAAAAAGGCTGTGGATCTCCCCTGCTATGATTTGGGCTGCTCTGTATGCTCACCTTGGTAGGGGACCCAGGCTGGGCCAAGTCAAAGGTGAACACAGAAGTTGGGGTTAAAGCAGGAGATCTGGGGCTCCGTGCAGGACTTCCCAAAACGGGGCTCTTAGAATCAGCTAAAAGGCGTTTTCTGTCGACTGTCTGGTATTCTTTTCCAAAACGAGGTCTAAGAGTTGTAGAAGCGGGGCTGCTCCTGACACTGTCCTTGCTGCCCTGCTGTTTGTTATCGGTGCTGCTGCCATTAGTAAGATCGGAAACAGTTCCTTCCTTTGTTTGGGATTCCTTCTTTTTCACTGGAGACTTGCATCTTGCCTGGCCACTATCAGAACTCTTCTTAGCAGATTTGTCTGTCAATAAAAAAAAGTAATAAAGGTTAATATCTAGCTAAGTTAGAGGGCAATTACTACCAAAGAAACACATTTTAAGCTGTGCATTTCTTTTAGCCATGCGTTTGCAGACCTTAGATTCCACTATGAAAAATCTGTAACAAATCCATTAAGGCATGATATCAATAAAATAGCCTGGGTTATGTGAAAACAACAAAATTACAGTTTTTCATGGGCGCACCAAGAAGCACTGTATTTTTTGCTATGAAACTATGGCATGCTGTAAAATGAAGATGTAAGCAATGGTAACAATCTGCAGGACTACAGAAAAAAAAATCCTGTACATTAAATGGTAAAACTGATAGATTGAAAAACCCCTAAATTAGATCTGCATTCAATAGCAGGAATAGACAGGAACAAATTGGTTTAAGAGTCCACCATATGATCCCAAATTAAGTAAGAGGGGTAAAATGGGTGTTCTTCTATCGCTGTTATCATTATCACTACTCCTTTCCAAAAACACTGCAGCTTCAATAGCCACCATCACTGCATTCAGCTAGTGGTGTTCAATAACCAGGCACAAAAGGCATATAGCATTGAGCAGCAACTTACAATGCAGCATGTACACTACTTTCAGGGACATTTCAAGTGTTTGAGAAAACTAGTAAAACAAAAGAGCAGTTACCCATGAACTACAACACGGCTGGCTCTGTTTTTGTCTGTTTTGCCTTTTTTCAAGATCAAAAAGACATCAAAACTGATTTCCAGCCGTATATACTGCCCATTCTAGTTTAATATTTGGAACTTCCTGTTATCAGTTTGAAATGTGTAGAAAAAGTTTGATCTGTTAGATTTTGACAAAAGCTTTTGTTGCAAATTCTTGATTCCAGTTGCAAGAAAGATTGGAAAAAAAAGCCTGGGTTCAAATATATGCTGATAAATTCTGAAATACACCTTTAAAGTAATTCGAACATGTGTTAGTATTACCAAACAATTTTTGTGCTCAATGAAAAAGATGATAAAAATATCAACTATCTAAAATAAAACTCGATACAAAGGGTCCAGGTTATCATTATTATAGTATTGTAGTCAAATAGCCAATGCTAACTACTTAAAAATCAAGGTGCCTTGAGAGACAAAAAGATCAAATGAATCTGAAATATTTTTTATACAAAAGGACGGGTTACGTTAGATAAGGAAGTACACAACAGAACCACGGTATTAGCAAATCAAGAGTACCTTTCAATCAACCCAATTATTCTTAATGCTGTTTGATCAGTGCTAATGGGTTTTATGAAACTGACCCAAGAAATTCAAGAGCAAGAAATCCATGAGAAAATCAATATGGTTAACTGTACTAAAATTCATGAAATAGTTTTAGCTGTCACTTAAAATATTAAACATCTAGTCATTCATTGTTCATTCAACTTACATATACATTAATAATTTCATTTCTAAAAGTTGTGTGGTATCTTTAATACAACTCATTATCCTTAGCTGAAATTGCACAGAATGACTTTTCTACCAACCTCATTTTCTCCTACACAGTTTTTAAAGAACCTTAAATCATCTTAGTAACAAAGCATTTAAGTCACACTTCTTGGTAGCTATGGCATTTTTATATAAGTACTTGAATGACGCAGAGCTTTCTCAATGTCATAAGCTAGACAGGCTATCTTCAATCAACAACCTAATGAAAATGTCTGGAAAACCATTAGACTTTGTATGTGCGTGCGTGTGTGAAAACGTGGATGCAGAGCATGCAAGTTCAAAAAAGAAGAGACTTAAATATATTCGATTCAATGCAAAGAAGTTCAAGTACTTAGGCAAAATTGATCTGGTTGATTAAAAGCAAAACAAGTATAACGAGACAGGCCAGGACTAAAACCATGAGTACTCATTCTAAATTTTAGCAGGCTAAAAATAAGAGTTTTTTCTAATGCAGTTAATCAACTATATCACAGCAATCTTTGATTTACCCACTCTTTGATTTTAGAAAGCTTTAGATTTTTTTCTTGGTATGAAATTTACGTCCTGATATTAAAGAAATGTTGAAAATTCAAGGCTACTTCATATAAATGGACTCTCCTGCATAACCATATGTTACTGACTCTATCAATATTTGCTGGTCAAAGGAAGAAAACAGACTAATCTGATGCTACGGATATGAAGAGAAACCTAATATGCCACAAAGGCTCCAATAAAAACAAATACAATTTGAACTTCCAAGAACTAAAACCCAAAGGTAATAAAGAGGATACCTGGCAAACGGCAGTGGAATAATAATGCTTTGTTTTGCTTCCAAGAACCAAGGAATAACACAAAGCTTCAAACTGGATTCCAATTAAAGGAAACCTATATGAGATTTTCAGAAAAAAAAATTAAAGCAATTTTCTCCTACAAATGAATAATTATTTGACCAGCCCATTTGGATTTTATGTTTAATTCTACTTTTAATTTACTAATCTACTTGTAAATGACTGGCCAGTATCAGTTTGGTAAATGGGAGAAATTCACAATACAAATTCACCACAGGAAAAACCCTTAATACTCCTCGCCTGCTCTTAAATCACATACTCTGTAGATTTGACATTTTCTCTCCTAAAAAATTAAAAATAAAATACAACCAACCCTGACATTTAACTCCAATGCTTCTTTAAGGTACATACAATGCCTTTTGGTAATTCTCTTAGTTATACTACTTGAAACTATATGCTGGCATTTGGTCAGTTTTTGTGACAAAAAATTGACTTTGTATGCATCTTTAAACTTCTTGTGCTTAAAAAAAAGAAATTTCATCTATCAACACTGTACCTGCACTAAAAAGTTACAGATAACAACCACATAGTTCTCAGTAGAAATTACTAGTAAGCTTCTTACAATGGTAACTCTTTAAATCTGGAAAATATATAAGATGGCTCAACTGTAACGTGAATAATACTAGTACATCATTACACCAGTTATTAAGATATGTAAGATACTTCAGAGGGGAAGAAACTTCCTTTTATCATAAAAAATGCCTGCAAAAGGCATGACAGTGTCTGTTCATAAAAATAAAATCTAAAATCTATGAATTAATAAAAAATATTACATGGAAGGGGAATCATCAAATCAGCAATTTTTCAAGCAAGATATGTGAGATTGGGAGAAGAGTGGGGTCAGAAAAATAAATGACAGACTAGCAAGTGCCAAGAACTAAGAAATGAAAACAGACAGAATTTATCCACAGATTTTTTTTTTAAATTATATTTTGTTTTTTCAATTTGCAAATAGCACCAACTCACCATGTTTAGGGTGTCACTTTTGCATTGCTTTCTATGACGACGTAAAGTTTCATATTTTTTGCTTAAAAAATAACCCTAATTCTGGCACTTTCTTTAATCTTTTGGGATATCATACACTGCTGTTAGCCTATTTTTAGGCTATCTCTGTTTATGTCAATTACATTCAGTACACCTTTCTTCAGCATGCATTTGTTTCTTGCAAATAAATACGTCAACATATATGAGATAAATCAAACCAAAATATTATGTAAAAAATCTACACGGACAAAGTCTTTAAAGGGATAACAATTGTTCATTTTGGCCAAAAAATGAATTTTCCTGGGGGTAAACACCAATTTTCCATACTTACTAATGCTTAATTAATCCATTCTCACATTCAAAGTTAGTCCCTGTTTTTTTTTTTCTAAAAAGTTGGTCTGTAGTAATATTCTCTCAAGAGATTATTACAGAGTGTAGCCATCTATGTAGGTCACATGATGTGATGGCAAGCACAAATCCCAGAATAATTGCATTAACTGCCATTTTAGTGGCAACATAGAATTTATTATATTTCTATGAGTTGTTTACATTAAATTTATTGTGAAATATGGACATCTTAAGAACAGTTGTTATCCCTTTAAGTTGCGAATTTCTGTATGTCATGAAAAACTAGTGAAATCCAAGTAGTGAACACATATTGTAAACTATGACCATGCTACAGAAGTGCTAAGACATAAGAAGATAATATCATTCATCACACTCACACCTCAAAGAAAATGTCCTAAGATCACAAATGCAGCAGGATGCTAAGAACAATCAAATCATATTATATGCTTGCTCATGAAACATGCTTGTTCATGGAATCAAACTATGATTGGACATGGAAGGCAATCAATTCTCATCTAACATCTAGCGTGCTGGGAAAACTAACCAGAGCCTAAGAAGAGGCAAAGCAACACTGAGACAGCGTACAGTAATATATACAAGTATATATCAGTGAAATCAATGGATTGGAAACAAAGCTGCTCAGTCTCATATTGTGTAGTATCTGGAATCACCTTTAACTGCATTCAGCTGGTGCTTGCTTACACACACATGAATGTGTGCACGCACACTCACACACACACACAGCTCTATCTACTGCTCATGGGGCTGACCCGTAAATTAAAAAATAATAATTACTTCTTATTCCTTTTCATTGAAAAAGCATAATAATAATAATAATTCAATATAGGCAAGAAAATGAGCTTTCTTGCCATCTGGTTTGAAAAAAATGTTAAATGCTTCAGAATTGTATTTGATCCATTGGTTGCATAATTGGGCACTAATAATTCTCCATCTACATCCATCCATGGCAATATTTTATTTCTGACAAATATCTTGGATAAGCACAAGAGCTATAAAAGATGGGGTTTAAATAAGTATACCACCTTCAGTAAATAAAAGTTATAACTGGGTCAACAACCAAACTACATATGGTTTGCTTTCAGTAGAATGGTCGACGTAACAACAACACAACAAATTTTCTCTTGATAAAGACAGATTTGGTGGAAACATTGTTGTGACATCACTCCCTGGTATTTCACATAAACATCTTTGTGGCTGATCACTGTGAATCACAAATTGAAAAACCAAATTATATACACACATATCAGACTCTTTGAAAGAGAGAAATATCACTCTACCTGATCATGCATGGACAACAAGAGACTGATGCTATTCTTGTTGCTATATTTTGAAATTGACATTTACATTGAAGGAAAAATCTTACTTAATCAAATCAAGTTTCTTTAACAAATGAACACAGAAAAAATGCACCCAAAAAATGAAACATCAATTTAGGATTTGCATGGCTTTAGTAAGCATAGTTTTCTACAGTGTTTTTACCTTCCAACCTTGCTCTTGACCCTTTAATATGTAACCTTGACCTTTGACATAGTCTATAACCTTGACCAATCTATAACCTTGATCATTTGAGATATTGTATAAAATGATACTGCTGTGTTAACAAAGTATGTTGATCTGTAATCTGAGCTGTTTTCATGATATTCCAAGTGTGCAAAGGCATATTTACACAACTCTGGCAGCTTAGAAACAATTTCTAAATGAGCTTTTATAAGTTAATAAGTAGGACACCGTATATGGTTCGAACTTCCAACTATTTCAATGATATTCCTATAAAAACAACAAAGCATTGGCGGTAATTTTGAACTCTGACTAGAAATAAGACTTACCATGAGTGAGTTTGAGTGGGAAATTAAACATGCCTCAATGGGTAAAAAGTGGATCAGATTCAGTTGAAAAACCTTTGCTGACATTTTCATCCAACCTCAGCCATTCATTTGCTGGCCTAATATGGTTNTTTTTTTCTTCTTTTTTTTTTTTACATATCTAGCTAAGTCGCAAACTGTGTAGTACTTGCCAAATATTAAGAAAGCATTTTATCATAATTAAAAACAGAGAATTATATAGTGTTGAGATCAAAGGTTAAGAGAATAGCTCTCTTTTAGTGCTAAGTGTGCTCACTGCAAGTGTGTGCTATTACTCATTTAAAGTGAAGCATCACTGGTTTTCTAACTGCAGTCATTATTATGACACATTTTAGTGCTGAGAGAGAGAGAGAGAGAGAGAAGGAAAGAATTCTACTCTTTTGTCTACCAAACACATCTTTCCAATGGCACAGAGATAATTTGATTTTCTGTTCATCTCAAGATGAAGACTTCCTTTTGGTGCCTTGATAATTTAATAAACCAAAACAATTGATGCTTAATATAATTGCATGTGTATGATAACATCATAGAATTTAAGCAAAGTGGATTAAACTATATACAAGGATGAGGCAAATGGAAGGCTAATAACTTAATCTTAAATGTAAGACAAAAATTGGAGGGATAGGTGTCACAGACAAGCACCGATTAAGGAAGATTTAGTATTTAATATGCCACATGTACTTCAGTCACGGTGTCCATTCCATCTGGAACTCCTACAAATGTTACCAGGCAGTTGACCATGCTGATAATTTTGTTTAACTCTCAGGGTGAAAAGTAGCCAGCAATAAAACCCAGAGTTCTCAATACAATCAAGACAGGAAATGAAACCAAAAGCAATGAACTAATTAACGTGCACAGCACAGCAACATGAAGCATGCACAACCATCATGTACAAAACTGGAATCCTGGTAACAATGAACAGCAAACAACTACACAAATAAGTAAAACAAACAACATTCCATGGATTAATAAGAGTTTTCATTCAACATGAACAGTGAACAACAACTGCAATAATCAACATAATGTGAGAACCAAATCAGAAAAGGTCTTTAAAAAATTTGGCAATCTGATCACAGCATGCAGAAAAAGGTGACATGCTTAAAATACTAATAACCGTTACCTTTTCATCTATACAACAGAAAGCCTTGCCCAGCTGAAGAAGCAATTTAGTTGCTGGATGGAGAGGCAGCTAAAATCACAAATGGATATAACACATATATAAAGATAGTTCAATAACAAAAAGGCATACACATACAAACATACAAAACAACATAAATGTATACATCAAGTAAAAAATAATATTCAACTGATCTACCAACCCTTCCAAAACTTCTTTAGCCTCGGCATAGTACAAGCAACAGCAGCACTGGCAGCAGGAGAGGTTGTTGCTGAGAAAAACAACTGTGTGGCATCACTGATAGTGATAACCAGAAACTTGAACAGTTAATAAACTGCAAGATTATTACTGGAATCCTTCAAGTCTAAGATGCTGGTGGTTGTCACACAGCAATCAATGTGGCAGGGTTTTACCACTAATAGTCCAACCCCAGGCAGCTGCGGTGTCAGTCAATCTGACACTGAAGATTTGCATCTCTCAAGATCTGCTGTCAATAAAACAAGATGAGTGTGAAGGCAAAAGAAAAAAAGGCATTCAGCATGAGGCCAAGTGACACTGCAAGCTTATCCTTTTCTATGCGACTGGGTGTTTCTGCTCCTACATGAAAGAGGCAGGTAGCACTAGCTGAGGTTGTCATGGCAACAAACCAGACCCAAGGCAAATGATGTTAACAGGGAGTCTCAAACCACAAGTTTTCATCCTTCCATAGGCCACAGCACTTCTCCACTGCCACTGCATTAGTGCCAGATCTACAAGCTGATTATTAAAGCTATGTATTGATTGTGGAGTATCTTCTCCTTTAAAATGCACACTAATGACGCAAACCACGTAAAAGTAGATATCGTATTTGTTGCCCTCTCATGCAAAAGAAAACTTATTAGTTCAAATTCATTTCCTCATCTTAATATAATTCTTCCCTTAGGTGTTTTCTATAGCATTTCCAGGGAAGCTGATATGGTAGAAAACACACTGCTGTGAGGACATACATGGCTTTTGGGAAAATCAGGTGTCATATTAGATGTACTTGACGCAGATACCAAGGACTTTGTTCCAATTCAAATGCTGTACTGTATACTTAAGTGCTGTCCATGAAAATGCATATTGACTGATGTAAATTGGAGGAGTGTGGGCAGCAAATCTGTCCAAATCATGCTTCACAAATTTTTCATTCCTTACTTCAAATAGGGATTTGAAAAACATTCATGATCTTCTTTAATTCTAGTCAATGGCTGTGTTCAGAATAGAAGTTCTCGTACTAGCAGGATCGATCTATCTCAGTGGGAATTCTCGCTAAGGTGCAGTCAATGTTAATCAGTTTAATTGTCTGAAATTCTCCCTTGCAAAGCAACATGAACAACATCATGGACCACAAAGTTTTCCAGACTTTGCCCAAGTACTTTAAGTTATGAAGGGGCCTGCCAGACAATTAAGCTGATTACATTGACTTCGCCTTAGCAAGAATCCCCGCCGAGACAGATCAATCCTGCTAGTACAATAACTTCTATTCTGAACACGACCAATGTCCAAGTTGTTTGAGATATATGCACTTCAGGTTTCAAGTCTTGGATTTGTTGATCTAAGCTTATATTAACATATAAAAATAATCTCTTATTGTGCTCGGCACTTCATTATAGTTTCTAATGCTCTTTGATTACACTGGTTATTACATAACTAAATAATGCTATAAGCTGATAAATCCTTCTGGAAAGAGATTTTAGGTTCAGTTGTAAAATCTCTACAATAAGATCACATAAATCTTATACCATCAACATTTTCATGTCTTTACTTTTTTCTCATGCTTTATCTATGTCTGTATGGTAACTCAAAATTAAAAACTAAATGACAAAAGGGGCATATCAACCAGCATAGTAATTATTATTCTATGCCTAATCATTTTTGTTTACACACCGCACTCATTTAACAACAGACACAGCTGCCCCGCCTGCCAGTTCATTAAATTAAGCTAGCACATTGTCAACACGAGCTCATCATGCAACCCATAGTCAAGTATACATTATGCACACTCACAGCCATCAGTCTAGTGTGGGAGAGGTGATTATTGGCCTTGAAGAAACAATGACTGTACAAAGAGCCTCCCTCAACATATTAATGGAACACATCGAGTGCAGTGAATTAGAGGGTATTCAAGCAAGTACAATCCAATTATCTGTCTAACACAGCTACGCTGGCTATTCAAATGCAGAATCACCAATGTGGATTTTTTTTTTCAGAATGTTGTAATATTAAATAGATGCAATGACCTGCAGCTAGATTTCAACAATATTTGCAGCACCTACACACCAATGATATTAGCCATCTCCTTTTCTGTCTGCCTGAACATATGTGTGTGTATGTATGCGAGTACGTTTCTGCAAACAATATGCATAAGTGTCAAATGTGCAATCAACATACAAATAAATATCGTAAAAGCACAGTTATGATAAATCAAGTTGAAATACAAATCATTGCTTTAAATACAAAACTAATCATTTTAACTTCTCCAACTATTTTGTAGAATTTCTAAGTATGTACTATTATACATAAAACTGAGACAAAATGAAGTGAATCTTACCTTCATCTCCAGGGAGCATCCACTTGTTTCCATCAGTATCTGGGGGTGGTATGGTCACAGCTAGCCCTGTTGGTGGGGATCTTTTCTTTGCCCTGGGACGGGCTACAGGTCTCACCTTCTGCGGGGACACATCATTAAACCCACTCCTGCTGCTGGCTTGTGGACTGCTGGCACTACCAGCACCCTGTGCACCTTTAGCATGGGTTTCATCAACCACTTCTGACCCAAGGCAAAGATCCATGCGAGTCGAAGACAATGAGCCACCTCCAACTGGGACAGTTTTCTTTAGGAGAGAGGCATCCTGGATCATCATGGGCATGACCACTGAAGTCTGGGGTGGTGCTGCCGGGTCTTTCCTATCAGACAATAGTTTGGATATACCCGTTAGTTCTTCCTCTGGCATGGCTGGTTTTACAGCCGTAAAGCTGTCTGAGGCGTCTGAAGTAAGTAGAGTATGAAGGCTTTTCATATCAGCAATATCATTTGACTGCAGGGATGATGATTGAGTGGCTTGTGATGAGACATCAGTGGAAGACAGGCACGAATGTAAACTTGTTGAGGAACTGAAGGGTGACACAACAGCTGTAGGCTTTTTAAAAGACCCCAGGGTACCAAAAGTCCCATCCCAGCTCTTGGCTGAGGAACATTTCCCACTGTAGCTTTCTTCTGAAGAGGAAGACACAAGTTTGTTACAGCCAGGGTAACTGGATGGTTTGTTTTTGGATGGACTGCCATCAATGGGTGGTTTCTTACACGGGCTGTTATCAGTGGATGAACAGGGGCTAGCACTCCCTTTGCCAAGCATGGTTGGTTTGTTTTTAGGTAACCTGGCTGGTATTGGAGGTGGAGGTAGAGGTGGGGGGGTCTGACATCGACCCGTTGCTGTCCCCAATGGTCTTCCCCCAGACGGGGCAGAAGGGTCTTGTCCTGTCGGTGTTCCCACTCTACTTTTCTTAATGGATGATCCCTTACGAAATGACCTATCACTGTCACTCTGATAGTTTTCTTCACCACTTGTTGAAGAGCGCTCCATGGACTTTGATGCAGATCTGCGGCGAAACATGGAAAGGAAACTCATCTTCACCCCTGGAGATGACCTCTCTTTTTCATCCAAAGGATTTTTTGATTTTGTTGGTGTCTTTGGGAGTTCTTTGGTGGGTTTCTTTGGCCTGGGAGGAGGGGAAGACCTGGCCTTATTGTGTTGTTTAATATCCTTTTTTGATGAATGGGGTTTAAACTGATAAAGGTTATCAAATGGTTTGAGGACTGGGGATGCCTCGGCCTCACTCCTTGATGACTCAAGATGTGAGCCACTGTCCTCGGTGTCAAGCTGCCCCACTGAAAAATGCATGTATCCAGAGTCTAATATCTCGTCAGCCAATGGCTTTGTCGTTGAACTCTGTGCACCAACCTGCTGAGAATCCCTGGGAGGTAGTGACATTGTCATGTAATTGTTCTGTTCTTCACTCAAAGGATTGGCCATGGTATGAGAATGTTGGAGTTCTGACCTGGTAACAAGTGGCTGGGAAGAGGAACTTCCACCAACGCTGTGACACCTGGGGTAGACAACGGGGCATAGACCAGTATTACTGGGTTTCACAACCATTTTCAAATAGTCCCTGGGAGAATCACAGGTGCTGGCCATGGGAGAGGAGTCGCCCAAACTAGAAACAGATGCATATTCCTGTCTAGAGTCCCCAGGGCTACTCCCACCAGGCTTCATCCAAATGTACTGGTCATCCTCTGGGCTATTTGACCTGCTGTTTGACAACAAGCTGCTCTCTGATGTACATGCATGAATACTGACCCTCCCAGTCCAATCAACTATCCCTTTCAAGGTGGACGAGCTTGGATTGCTAGGTCCAGCAGACATGGAGAAGTAATCAGCATCAGAGCCTGTGCTACTGCTGCCAGTGTTTGTCAAATCTGGTCTTCTGCCATCTGGAGGAACACTAAAGGAGGTCTCCTGTATCAATGGAGAACCAGCCCTATTTCTCCGTCTATCCATAGTCTGCACAGCTGCCATATCAAAGTATGGGCTGGCTTCCTCTGTCTCCATCTCATCCAAGGATGACGACAGACTGCCAGCAGTGTGAGCTCCACACGTACACTGTCCACTGTTTATGATAGTTTCAGATCCAGGGATATTCACATAACCTCTTGGCTCAGCAGGAATGTTCACATACCTCCGTACAGGGGTGGAATGCTGCCCTGGAGCAGAATGGCACAAAGGACACCCACAGGAGCATGGGCAAGGCAAGACATTGGCATATCTCTGTCTCCCACTTACTGCTGGTGGGGAATCCTGAGGGAAAGACAGCAGATTTACAGGTATTTTCACACTGGATGCAGCACTGTCAATATAATGATGATCCGTTTCCTCCCCGTCAAATCTTTCCAGATTTACATATGTCAGGGGTTGTGAAAACTGATCTCTGCTCTTGGCAGAGGCATCAATGGGTGAGCTACTTCCCGAGCTGCAGCTGATTTGAGCAATATCTTTGAGATTGGTGTTGGAGGTGTACTGAGGAAAATCTATCTCCTCAAAAAGTCTGTCTGAATCCTGACTGCTAAGAGAATGAGATCCAATACTAGAATGACTCTGTGGGGAAGAACGAAACTCTTTGTGAGCATTTGTTTCAGCAGATGATGATGGCATGAAATTAGAAAACTGAACTGTTGCAAACACAGGATCTTCATTTGATTTTGACATTGGCACTTTAGGGTGAGGTAGGTTTGTAATTATATCATCCAGGAGATGTATGGAAGTTTTGTTGTTTCCTGTCCTTCTAGTACTCATATCTGAGGTTGCACCACCAGTGGCACCCCAACAATTCTTAGTGGGGCCAGCACCGAACAAGTCTACATTCAAGTAACTTTGATCAAACTGACCATCAGGAGAGCTGGACTGTCGACCTGCCAACCTTTGCGATCTTGGCAAGGTGCTGGACAGGGTACGCTGCAAAGTTCTGCCACCGTGACTCTGCTCCTGGTCACTATCAAAGCCTGCATTGTCTGCAGTCTGTCTCCCCTGTCCTCTACGGCCTAAATTTTCAATACTGACTAGACACTGTTTTTCATCAATCTGATGAAGAGATAACTGGCGACTGTGAAGCTGGTGGTGAGATCGAAAATTGAGATCGGCATTCACTTGAGTGTTTTCGAAGTTTTTGGCATGTGGACTTGTGGCCTGAGTATTGGATGACCTATAAGCTTGGAACATTGCTGGAAGACTCAATCGAGATCCTGAAATATTGAACGAAAAATAAGTAATCAGATTTTGCAATGTTTTTTTAAAGATATTAAATAAGGACAAACAGTGACATTTGAATGAAATTTT